AAGTCCAGATAAGAATTTCAGAAATTATCCGTGCGAAGCCGGGGTAGATTGCTAGTATGTTATAAGATATCGATCGCATCTAAATCGGTGGAGCCGTCTCGAGGAAAAAATTCGCTACAATTCATTTTAACGAGTGATTTTTTTGCAACGCCCCCTGATGAGCTAACACCATATAACCTATCTGAGAACCATCGCCAATGAGTCACAAATTCTATACAGAAAACCGCATCGAAATCGGTCAAACCGTTTTCGAGATAAATGGCAACATTCGTTTGCACCCTAAATGTTCATTGCAGCGCCCCCTGGCGAGCTAACATCACAACATTTACCTAAGAACCATCGCTGATGAGTCACAAACCCTTTGCAAAATCCGTACTGATATCTGTTAAGCTGTTTTGGAGATAAATGGGAACATTCGTTTGCACACACAAACAAACAAACAACCTCTCACTCTAAACGCATACACCTTCTCCGTTCCGTCTCGGATAAAAACACAAATTCTCACGGAATTTGATTAATATTAGGGTAAACTAGATTCTTACAGGAACTGTGCATTTTTTAGGATTAAAAGTATTTCGTATGTCATTTTAAGACAGGGTGTTACCACACCAATCGACCGAACGTCGATAGATGGCATCAATCGATGTTGGAATGGATACGTCGACATCAATCGAGTTACTTGATTATTCGAAAACCTGCCCCGCTCCACCGAACGTATTTTAAAAGATACTGATTATGAGCCCACAACTACAGCGATAAAGTGTTGATCGATTATTGAACAATGTTTTATCGACCAGTATCCGTCGATCACTTACACAAGCTACCGCCCAAATCGATCGAATAGAATAGAATATTTTTTATTCAATATATTATGTATTACATGAGTACTTATTTAAAGTCATAAATGCTTTTACCACTGTTCGGAGTAACCTCAGCGCTGAGAAGAACCAGCAAGAAACCCGGCTGGACTTTTTTAAAACATTAAATACAATATGTTGTGAAATTTAATATGCACATGTTTAAAAAAGAAATATCAATCATGTACTCTTTAGTACTATATAACAACCCTTATTAATCAATTTTTGCTTGCGGCTAGGTTGGACAAAATATTGTATTTTAGACACGATTTTGACGCGTGGAGAATTAATTATTGAAATATTATACGCCCGGAAAAATGTTTTCGCGTACATTAAATACTCTTTTAAATTCTTAATGGAATGGGTTATTAAAATACTTTATATTAACCGAGATAAAAATAAAATTATCGCCGGGAAAATACTTTGACGTTCGTGTTTTCGTTTATTTTAAACGCTAACCAATAAATAATATGAAAAGAATGTTATTAATTTGATTCTTAATCGGGTATATTTTTATAAACTTTAAAAACTTAATATTTGTTCCCTGCTAATAAAAAAAAAACCTTTCAATTTAAGTAACCTTTTGTCCATCGATTGTCGCGCGCTAACTTCGTGTTAGAGAAACATGCAGCGGAGAAGAGAACGCTAAAAGTCAATCCTAGTCCTTATTTCTGGGAATAAGGACTAGGATTGACCTAGTTCGTAATTTCTGGGAATTTGTTGTAAAACATTGCCTTGTGAAGTAATTACCGACTCGTCGGTGTCGAGTAATTGGTTTAACTATCTTGTGTTTATTCTTACGGTGCGTACACATTATATAACATAAAATGTTATAAAACGTGTTATATAACTCGAACGGAAGAACGACAAACGACAATGTCATATAACATTGTTATATTGCATTGTTATTCTAATGTGTACGATATTGTTATATGTTGCAATGTTGAGATACAATGTTACATAATGTGGTAGTGTTATAAAACAAAAGTTACACAACATGTAACTTAATCTGTACGCACCCTTAGGCTAAATATCCCAACGATTTTACAGTAGTTTTATACGAATTTTTGTGAACCGTGCTAATTAGAATAAAATGGAACTCTCTTGGAGTTATCATAGTCGTAGTTGACACTATGACAAATATCAAACTTCCGAGGCAGACCTATGTTCAGGAGTGAACTTTAGATAGGCTGTTAAGGCATATGTCGTATTCATTTGTTCATTCATTCATTACAGCCATTCACAAGTCCACTGTTAAACATCGGCATGCCCCCAGGAACGCCACAAAGCACAGTTTGGAGCCACCTGCATACAACGACCTCCTGTATCTCTAACCAGGTCGTCACTCCATTTAACGGGTGGCCACCCTACACTTCACTTATCGGGAAAAAGCTGTCACACGAGAAGGAACCTTTTACATTGTATATAAGAGCCTAAATAAATCATAAACAAATTCTAAATTTGTTTGGTGGTAAGAAATAAGTGCGAAGGCCATGATACTACTCCCGCGACCCAATCATAGGTGGTAGAGCCATGTATTTTATACGTGGTAGAGCCATGCTGCAGCTATGTTAATATAATTGTAGCACGAATGGGTCGGCTCGACCGGGGGAGGACCACGCTCTCACAGAATACCAGCGTAAAATGGCAGCTTGACTTGAGCTTGACTGCTGTGTTTCGTATGGTGAGTGTAGAGAACCGGAGACCCATTTTACTGGAAAAGGAACATTTCATCTTAGTCCGTCGTCACTGGTAACGACGCATCTGCATTTTAATTTGCAAACGAAGATAGATGTAGATGTCTATGGGCCACAGCAACCACTTACCATAAGGTGGACTGTGTGCTCGTTTGTCACCCTTATGCTGTAAAAAAATTCCATTCCAATTCGAGTACAACCACAGTTGGTTAATTAAAATAGATATCTACATTTATCCTCGATTAAGAATCAAAATGCAGATGCGTTATAACCCCCGAGGTCTAAAATGGAATGCCTCGTATCCAGAAAAAAGGGTCTCCGATACTCTACACCCACCATATGAAACACAGCAGCGTTAAGCTGTTATTTTGCGCTTGTATTTTGTGAGAGTGGAGTCCTTCCCCGGTCGAGCCAACTTATTGTTGCTTCAAATATAATATAGCTGCAGCATGGCTCTACCATGTATAACATGCAGCCTAGTGTTGTAATTTGTGCTGTCTAGCTTATACTTCATTTAAATTATAATTTATCGATTCAAATTTCATAACCAGACAGGTGACCGCAGAACGGTACAGCGGTCTTTTTAATTGCAATTATTGTACATAAAAACTGGGAGCGTCTGTTAAAAAATGTATTTTAACTACAATATGCTATAAACACAATCCTACGTGTTTCTTTACAAAATATTATTCACAACCGACACCCGCCGGAGGCATCACAACAACGCAAAAATAATTACCCATTCGAAGCCCCCTTCAGCGTTTCGAATGAATTTTAAGAAACGTATAAGTTTTAGTTTAGCATATTATGGTTAAACTCACTATTGTGTACCGGTTTGAAGAATATCGAGGAAGAATGATTCAGAGTTACGAGGCTTTTCCTATTTGCTCAAGGTAGACAAAAACTCTTCTTTGCTTAGAGTTTTCAAGTGTTTAATTTCTGTGATCAACTGCTTCTACGATATCTTGTGTTTTATGCGTGGCATGTTAATGTAGAAAATGACCGGGTTTAGGCTTATTTCAAGCTCCTATGAACTACATGTAAATTGATTTTTTTTTATCGAGCTCCCAAAATACAAAAGTATAATATTTTTTATTTACGAGTAAGTACACAAAAATATAAGTAGTTTTAAAAAATAAGTGATATTAACTCTGTAATTACTAGGAATAGACGCTAGTAGTACCAGTTACTCGACCCACCGAGTTAGTAATTCATTCGTGGGGCGATGTATACGCCTTTATAACAATATCACAGAAAATACACAAAATCTGACTTCCGCAAAGTTTAAAAACTTTAAACAATTGTTTAAAAAGGGTTAGTATAATTTATGGATGACAATTACCCCATCGCTACCAAGCTATTTCTAATTCGTTTTGTGTTGTTAAAAATTATTGTGTGATATATTAAATAATAATACTCTGTTCTTTTTCCAAAAAAAAAAAAAAAACGTTCCGCTGGGTTTGTGCTGGTTCTTCATACAACAGAGGTATTTTCCGAACCAATGGTAAATTAGACATGAGAGTGTCTTGCAGTAACTTTTATTTATAATCTATATTTAATAAAAAAAAGTCCATTTCTATGTTATTTACATTATGGATTGATCCATTTTATTATGTTAGTATGTAGGAAAGGATATGCAGGAAAACTATATCAGAGTGCGCAGACGAGCAAACGCCTTGTCATTACCTTCCTCTATTGTTTCTTGACTACACAAAAATGACTGGTTTTTGGCTTAACTTTATTGGTTTATATTATCTTTGGAAGCTTCTAATAAAATGTAACCTGCGAACAGATGACTAATCATAGTTTAGCTCCCAATATTCGATGTTTTAATAGTAGTGTTATAATTTCGGAGCCAATAATACTAAACGAGACTGTACACCCAGTGCGTGTTGCCAGTGATGACATACGGAACTGAGACGTGGTCCTTCACTGCTGGCCGGATGAGGAAGCTCAAGGTCGCTCAGCGAGGTATGGAGAGGGCTATGCTCGGAGTTTCTCTGCGTGATAAACTCAGAAATGAGGATATCCGCAGTAGAACCAGAGTGACCGACATAGCCCAACGGATTAGTAAGCTGAAGTGGCAATGGGCCGGCCATATAGCTCGAAGAACCGACAACCGATGGGGAAGAAAGGTTCTCGAGTGGCGGCGTCGTACCGGCAAGCGAAGTGTAGGGCGTCCCCCCACTAGATGGAGTGACGACCTGGTAAGATATGCAGGAAGTCGATGGATGCAGGTGGCTCAGGACCGTGCTTTGTGGCATTCTTTGGGGGAGGCCTATGTTCAGCAGTGGACTTGTGAAGGGCTGTAATGATGATGATGAATGATAATACTAAAACTGAAAACGGATTCCGGTGTGATATGAATTCAGAGTTCACAATTCAGTAGCTAGATGCGATCACTATGCTATATTTATATTGACAATTATTTTCTGGACTTTTACAGGTACCCGGAATCAAAGCTTGGGAGAATGTTTTCTGGGGCTATTCCAATAGTGTTGGATACGCTGAAACAGCACTATTTCATTGATCGCGACGGCGGAATGTTCCGGCATATTCTCAACTTTTTGAGAAACAAAAAGCTATTGCTGCCTAACGATTTTCCCTACGTTAATCTTTTACTACAAGAAGCTCAATACTTTGAACTGGATCGTAAGTAAAATAATTACACATTTTGGTGGCCATAAATATAAAAATTCACGTGTAGTAAGCGGTGCAACAATAGTTCCGAGAATGTCGTAAGAGGCGATAGAAGGAAACAAATTAGGCAATGGACAGCAGCGTCTTTCATATAAGTTATAACAACTAGAAAATAAAAATAAAACGGATGGTGCTAACTTAACTGTCAAGAGTGGCCACTATGGCAAATTTCGTAGACCTGTGTCTTGTAATGGGCTTCGATAGTCTTTAAAGTAAGAAAATCTAATAAAACATAAGAACGACATGAGTGTATTTAAATCAAGAGTAAACAGGCTTTTAGTAAGCTAAGATAGCGGCGTGTTAGTAAAATCCTGGTAAATGTATAAAATTATGTTATTTATTTTAAATCGTAACTAAGATATAGATTATATAAGCCCTAGAAATAAGGCGATCATCAGATCGTCGGGGCTGAAACTGCATAGTTTATACATGTTTTAAACAGTGGTAGAGCCACGCGGCAGCTTTTGCTGTCGCACGGATGGGCCGGCTCGAACCGGGGTGGTACCATGACCTCACAGAAAACCAGCGTGAAGTAGAGGTTTACCTCTGCGTTTCGCTTGGTGAGTGCAGGTGGCCGGAGGCCCTTTTTACTGGAAATGAGGCATTCCATCTTAGTCCTCACGGGTGACAACGCATCTACATTTTGATTTGTAATAGAGGATAGATGTAGATGTCTATGGGCCGCAGCAACCACTTATCATCAGGTGGACTGTGTGCTCGTTTGTCACCCTTATCCTATAAAAAAAATGTTTTTTTAGTCTGTAAATAAAGGTGACAAACGAGCACACAGTGCATCTGATGGTAAGTGGTTTCTGTGGCCCACAGACATCTACATCTATCCTCTATTAAAAATCAAAATGCAGGATTGAGGATTATCATATATACAGAACTATACACTATACTGAATAAACACTGTTTTATTCTATTCAAACGGTGAGAGTCCATCACTCACCTCCGAAATGCCAACGATATAGTTATTATGGCAGAATGGCTGGAGAATATTTGCACTATGTTCAATGACTTCAATAGTGTCTTCCAACGAATATTTTTTAGACGAATGTCCATATCACATCTGTGCCGGTAATTTTTGGGAACACTACTTTCAAAGTTGATTAACAGTATGTTTACTTAAGACAGATTCACCGACTAGGTAATGTCGACTTCGACCGAGAAGTCAATCGACGGATCCGAGTCGGCTGGGCATCGTACAGGAGATTGCGACATATCTTCCAAAATTTGAAAACAAGAGTGTAGAAACAGTGCGAGTTGCCATGACAAAGAGATCTGAGATTTAGCCCTTAAGCGAAAGTCTAAGGTCCATTTGGACCAGCTTTCTATCGATTAGAATAAACATTATGCTTCACTGCTCTTCAGATATGGTGTTGGCTCTGACCACTTTTAAGCGAGAGAGGGAAGAAGTGAAACTGGAGTGGGATTGCCACCATGAAGCTGAGTCTACTGCTGAGGAATACTTGCCTCAGAAATGGAAAAGATGCAGGAGAGAGGTTAGATGATTTTGCATAAATCCTTTTTAATTTTTCTTATTAGAAAAATACTAGTAATGCTATTAAACTTACTAACATTCCCTTTGATCACTTCTGGTAAGCTTAAAATGCTTGTGTTAGAAGTGGTTCACGACAGTAGTCGAATGGCGGATTCGAACCCACTACCTTTCGAGTTCGCGGTCCGTGCCCTGCCATTAGGCTACTGATGATAAGTCATATAACATACACATAACATAGAAGTCATATATTACTTTATTCATATCTCTCTTAACGACACATATGAATCATATTACTTAAATCTAATTTTGGTCAGACCGTCACAGACATTCCTACAGCCAGTTCGTAATAGCGTTGTGCGTGAGGGTAATATGGTAAAGTGGTAATCCGGTTAATATGGTTACTTTCTTATAACTCAAAAACTACAGCCTTGTATGTATAGATGGCTCTGTGATATGATAGCTCTTCATGAGTCAATCAAATAATAAAGAAACAAAAGGGCGCTGCTTTGTCGACGCTATTTTGACAGTTGACTTAATAGTAAATATTATAGTCGATTTTAGTATTGTTTAGTGTAGCTAATTTTAATATAAACTAATAATTGTTAAAGCTTGTTTGCTATTTTTTTCTTAATATTTTAGTTCTTTGTGATTTTATAAACTAAATATTGCGTAAATTGAAGATATATGAATTCCATAAGATAATTATTATTACATTGTATTTAGAAATATGTTTGTTTAGATTAAAATAAGAGTATTTTATATTAAATTCTTATATTTATTTTATATTAATATCTTATTTTATATTAAACTAGCTGACCAGGCAGACGTTGTTCTGCCCTTTCCGACGACCATGTGTCCTAAAAAATCTTTATATTCACAATAAAAAAAATTGAAGGTCAGTTATCGGGATAAAAAGTATCCTATCTCTCAAGTTGGACCAAACTGCACACAGTGTGCAAAATTTCATTGCAATCAGTTTAGTAGTTTAGGAGTTCATCGCGGACAAACAATGTGACACGTAATTTTTATATATAAAGATTAAAGTATTCGCGCATGCGCGGCTCTACTATCTCCCGCAATCTCCCGCACATGCGCGAAGACATGAGTAGTGCACAATTTTTGTTTGAAATAGTTTCTCTAGTACTTAGTACCTACATATAACTCAATAGCGACAAACGACAAAGCTTAAGGTGACCATATTACCCTCACGTGCCTTAGAATGAAGGTGTCAAGCGAGCACACAGTTAACCTGATGGTAAGTGCAGCAACGCAGATGCGTGTCACCGTTAAATTGTCACGGTCTCAGGTTCTCTCCACTCACCACACGAAACACAGCAGCATTAAGCTGCTATTTTACGCTGGTATTTTGTAAGTGCTTGTCCTCAGCTATATTATGCGTGCTACAACGATAACATAGCTGCAAACTTTTTTTTGAAATGGGCCTTACTTATTTTCTGGGAATTCCCATGAAGGAATAAGTGACTCTTTGCAGTCGAGTAACTGGTATTACTAGCTTGTGCTTGTTTCAAGTATTTACAGAATGTATATCACTAATTTATATAAAATTATTTTTGTTTTTCTGTGCATAATTTTCCTAGATGTATACAGAAAGGCGAAAGTTAATATATTTGTTAACAAAATTACTTAATTTAAACCTGGAAAATATACCGTAAACATAACATACGTGGAAAATATACCGTATTGGCAATGTTACAAGTATGATTGTCCGTTGGCGCATACTTGGAAAAAGTCTGCCCAATATTTTAGTAAACTATTTAGTAATCTGTGCCAGTATTTAATTACGAAGGCTATTTTAGGGACGTGATGTGAAATAAAATGTTTGTATTATTTATATAATATATAATGCTGATGTTCATTTTTGTGTTTTTTATAATTGAGAATTTCAATAATTCTATTTTATTATTTACTAGTCACCCTTCCCGGCTTCGCCTGTATAGGATCTATTTAGATTTAAGATAATCAAAGAAGACTAAAAAAATCAAGTTTTTCCTAAATTAATCCTCCTAAATCCATCTTCATACAGCTCTTTATCTGTTTGTAAGGTTTCATTAGAATTGGTTTAGCTATTCCCAATATTAACCTGAAATTACAAACAGACAGACAGACATTTTTAAAAAAATACTTAATTATGTCTAAGTAGCATGCAAACGACCGTCTGCGCTTAATAGAAGCCAATTATTTCAATATTAAAGACATGCACTTCATTTTGAGTTATGTGTATTGATTTTTAAACATTTTTAATGAAAATATAAACCTTTTTCAGGATAATTAACTAGTCAACACTTCATGCAGCGGAGAAGACACGGTTTTATGTTTCAAAAAAGTATGTTGAAATTTATATTGCAGTATTTTAAGTAGTTGCAATTTCAGTAATAATATAAATGTTAAAACGTAGAAATCTCACATTACAGTCGTAGGTTACTTGGAAGTCAATAAAACTGTAGTTAATTGTAAGTTTATGTTTCTTTATATCTATATGTATAATATTTTTTCAATATTCATTATTTTTGTTTTAAAATTTGTAAATTTCTAATGAGTCGCCTAAATTGTGTTCTCAATAATTTGTAACGTTTAATCTACGGTAGCATTATTATCGAGATAGTTATTAAAACATAACCATAATTTACTAACTTAATTACCACGGAGTTCGTCATTCGTACAGCAAAGATGTCTATCATAGATTAATGATAAGTCATCGTCAGATCGCGCGATTATTATTAATCTATGGTGTCTATAATAAGTTGCCAGAAAGTATTTCCATCCGATTACAATGTGGGTGTCTTCAAGGCAAGAGTGAATAGGCTTTTGTTAAGTCAGTGCGGTTTACTATCTCCGGGTGTATCACCACTTAACATCAAGTGGGATAGTAGTCAAGCACTGGGTTAGAATAATAAAAAAAAAGTACATTTTATGTATTGAAACTAGTAACTTATTAAAAAGTATGTGTTTGTTGTTTGAAATTATGATATTTATATTTGGCCTTTGGCGGGGAAAGAGAGTCAAAGTTAAATTATCACGTATTCTGTGACTAAGGATTAAATCTGTGTTATTTTAAGTGATTAGTTTATAAAGTTGTTTTCGTTGTTTCTTAATGATGACTTAGAAAATAGTAAGTGTTATGTTTATGTGTGTCATTTTCAGATTTTTTTGGATTATTTTTATTATAAAAATTCATAGTATGTTTACATTTTAAATGTAATTGAAAGCATGGTGTAATTTTTAAATTGACTGATACGTATCAATTAACTTATTTAAATTATATCTAATGATGAACGTCGTAATGTAAGTTGAATATTTCTTTCTAAAAGTCAGTAATAAAATATTGTGAAGTATATATTTGAATATGTTTGATTAAAACCTATAATTCTAAGGACAAACATTGTTCGTCATTTTGTAATACTACTCGTAAGAATGCAGGGTACTTTGAAAAAATTATTAAAAAACTATTTAAAAACAAAGCAAAACATTATGATAGGACCGGCATATGATACACCTCTAAGTATAGGGAGGGAACGTCCAACAGCCTGTAGCTATTCTGGTCACAAGAGTCGGCGTATTGAGAGAGATTAAATAGCGACAGTGAAGTACAACTTACTTGGATTAACACTTTGAAAAGGAGCTTCTAGTGTTATAATTACTTATCAGAAAATAAAGACCTTTTTTTTAAATATACAATACTTACCGTAATAAAAACTTTTAATAAAAACTTTACTACTCTCCGTGGTATATTGCTAAGAAGCAAGAACGCTGGCTGTTTCCTCGCTGAATGGCTATAGTTAGAGTAAAGAATCAGCCCTTTTACCACCGCGGCGCCAAGTCACGGATACAATTCCTTTAGGATCTTCACCGCACGTGGACGTCACGGGCCGTCAGTCTCCACAGCATATGTCACAAATATGTAGTCATCTATTGGAGACTCATAATTACGTTAAATACTTATATTTAAGCCGGATCTGATGAAGTCCAGTCTCTAAACGAAGTACCCCTTCGCTGACACGTTGCTGAAGTGACTGACTACGCACATAGCATCCCACGCTAGCGCTTCGCAAGGACCAAAGTCATACCGTCCGGTCTTTTCTTATTTAGGACAACAAATAGTAACTTCTCAATAAATAACATATTAAAAACAAAATAGTATCATTGTGTAACCACAATCCACACAATCCGCAGCTCGATTGCGTCCTAATTTTTTTTAAAGATTTAAGGTAAAGGGCAGTTAGAGTAAAGGTACAATTCCGTAGCCGACCGCAGACAGCAGCGGCAGGCGACGTGTCGTCGCGACACTACTGGTTTCTATGTAGTTCTATGAAATACCTTCCGTAGCTAGCGACACGTCGTTTACCGGAGCGGCAGACGACATGTCGCCCGAACGCAGATCAGTAGCGCCGCCAACGCCCGAGCGACACGTTGAATTTTTCTCAAAAAATGAGTTTCAACGATTCCGTAGAAGAGAAACAGATAAACCAGGTGGCCCAATATCCTCCATAAATAGAGTACCTACCCACAGAGCATTCGGAACAGATTGGAACACGGGCTGCTGCCACCTGCAGTCTGGTTCAGAATCATGACTGCAGCGACATGACGCGACGACATGTCGCAGCGACATGTCGCGACGACACGTTGCCTGCTGCTGTCTGCGGTCGGCTATGGAATTGTACCTTAAAGTATAATAATAGATAAGAGTTAATGAATAATAAAACTGGAACAAATGAACTTTTTTTAAAACTTATTTATTTTTGGATTATGACAGTGACTGAAAAACTCACGAAACGCCTGTGTGTTTTAGTATAGTCGATCAATGTAGGTGTATAAGGGTCAGAACCGTACATTCAGGCAATGGGTGGGGGAGGCCTATGTTCAGCAGTGAACTTGTGATGGACTGTAGTAAAAGTAATAGCGATGAAAATTATGTTGCAGTGTAATGTAGTAACTGACTAACATCCAACACCAGGGTTTCCTAACCTTTATTAGACCCGGGACCACTTTGAT